GATGCGCGATGGCGGCCTTGACTGATTACGTCCAGTCTCGTTCTAAATTTAAACACCCTTATAACAACAGTACATTTATAAAAAAAACCATAGAAAAAAAAATAAGAAAGGAAAAAAATAAAAGAATGACCCAACCGTGTCAAAGACATTGTCATGATCATAGGCGTTCCCGCTCAGGAAGGCTTGACTCGACTTCAGTATAAACTGATCCAAGGCATGCTGTTGCGAAGAACTCGGCGTTGCCTCAATGACAGCTCTTACACCTAAAAAAGCATTACCAATCTGACTGCTTTAACAACGATGAGATGAATTTTATTACAATAATTATGATTAATCAAAAAAAGGCTTCTAACACGCTTAAAGGCTACAAAAAAAGCACACAAAGGTAATATTAATCCATTTTCTAAGCTTACAAGGTGATTTAACGTGTGGCCTGGGTTTGTACTCTGGATTTAAAGTCGAGTGATCATGAACACCGCTCTCATTCAAACTTATTTTATCCATCGCGTAATACATAACATACATTCTGTAGTTGCAGTTTGTACGTTTCCATTTATTACATCGGAAAAATACTTTAAGACCATTGATCTGCTCTACAGTTTTCCACTTAGAAACCCGTTGACTTTTCCGAACTCGGTCCATTTCCTCTTCGGATGTAAACCAACCGACATTCCTCCATTCTCGCTTCATATTGCTGTTGCCCCTGTTATGTGACAAAACAATGCTTTTCGAACTATTAAGCTTGTTGATGTCCAATGCATTCATTTCCGTGCAAGTTATTATATGTGGAGGTTTAGGAGTCGGCAAAACACACGATGTACTCGCATCACCAGTAGTACAATTTAACAGAGCAGCTTCTAGCGCTCCGCTAACCGTTGTATCATTTAAGGACAAAAACTGGACTTCATTCACTTTCGCCGAAACCTCATTTCCGTCTAACGCACCATTCTGAAGTTCAGGCGGCTCACTTGAATCATCGTTTAATCCTTCATAATCCATGTAAGATCCACTATAAGGGTTGAAATTACGACTGCCATTGACAATTAAAGTTTCGCTACGAAAAACTGCCATAGCGTCATAATTGTCTCCAGATGTTGGAGACGAAGAATTTTCGACTGTCATATTGGTACCAACTTCAGTATTCTCTGTTGAGTACGACGAAGAATGGCAAACTGATGGACTTCTGGACGAAAATTCTATATCAGGCTTATGTAGCTCAGCTTTAACCAGTCGATCAGTGGTAGAAATCTGGCAACTGGCAGCACTTAAATCACTGATAATCATTATTTGGGAGTATCCGGAAAATATTCCAGATAACCGAAGGGACTGTAAATTAGCGATAAACTACGACGATGAAAGTAAGATGTTGCAAGAAACCGACCTTTTAGCAATGATAAAAAAAAAAACATATACATACAAGATAGAGGGTAAAATTAGAGGGGGAAAGGTGCTGAACAGCAGGAGAGTAATGCGTCACACCAACAGGCCAACAATTAGCCCGAATAGTTGAAAAGGCGAACTGCGTTATGGTGGGAGAACTGCATGAAATGTAGGGGGGAGGGGGGAGCAAAGAGATAAAAAAGAACTTAAAGAGAGGGAAGGGGAGATGGAGAGATACAGAGAATACAGAGGGGTACAAATGCAATATATTTAAAGGAGGAAGGGGGGAGGGGAGGGGGGGGAGGGGGATTTGTAGGCAACCATGATGTAAGAACTCAGCGTTGCGGTAGCTCTATGATCCTCCAAGCTGCTCTTCGGGGTAACAGTGCTCCTGATGCCTTCAACTAAAAGAAACCGGAGGAGTGGGAGGGAGGGGATTGGAAGGGGCGACAATGCCGCCGATGTCGGCGACTAGAACGATGAGGAGGAGGAGGAGGAGGGGGATGATGATGATGGTGATGATGATGATGATGTGGAGGAGGAGG